GTCTTCATTTTCAAATGCTTTTTCAAATCCGCTTCTTTCTTAAAAGTTCTCTTACATTCTTCGCACTCCATATATAGACTAACATATTTAAGTGCGCTGTTGCCCCCAACCACACTGGGAGTGGGTTGTTTCCGTAGGTGGATTTTTGACACGGGTCTTGCCCGTGTTGAGATTGCGCTGGAACCCCCATTCCCTATACTACTCGCTCCAACGAAATGTTTTGCAGTCGCCAGTCCAAAACAGAGTCAATAATTACTCGGGTTTTCTGAAACGAAGCCAGTGATTGGTTTATTTCTTCCGAAGGCTAGTTATCGATGATTTTATCCGATTGTGACGTCATCAGATGAATTCATCCGATTTTATTGAGCGTGAATGGGAAAGAGTTAAGGTATTAGGATACGAAAAATGCAATTTGCTCGAAAAATTTTTTTTTGAAATTTCATAACTTTAAATCTTTGTCTTTCATATGTTAGTAAAACTTCTTGCAATTTTTGATTGGAAAAGCCAAAATTTTGAGACAAATTGAAATCGAGTCTTTATCAAGACCGGAAATGTCCCGTCGCTTGCAATAACGTTGAGTCCAAATGCTCCTTTGTCCTTGTAAAAAGATCCTACATTGTGATCGTCCAGAACAACAGATAATTTGACAAGTGATGACAAAATGGAAAGCTCAAGGTGTTTTGGCCAACACCATCGTGGCTTCCTCAGCTTCCGGCTCCAAACAAAGAAATGAATTTTTGCCGCTAAAACCTCGACTTCAAAAAGATAAAAGTCCCTTGGATTTAATTTGATTTTTCTAAAATTTGGAGAGTTTAAAAAGTAACTCATGATCCAAAAAAAAGGTGTCTCCGATTTTTGAAATTTAATTTCTTTCCAAAGTTATGATGCTTTTTACTCTAAACGATACTCCAAAAGCAATAGCCGAACTTTGATCAAAAATAGCGAGAGATATAAAACAGATATCAAAAATCTGGGACACCCTTTTTGAGCTTATTATCTCCTGAGTAGATTAAGAAATTTTTTGCAAACATAGCTTAAAATGTACGTGTCCATTAACGTTTTCACTGAGGCATGGTCAAATTTCGCTTCAAGGACAATAATGTGAACAACAATTTATAAAAATCGTATTTTGAAGATTTCTTCATAAACTATGTTTACTCAGCTTTCAAAATATGTATACTTTGTTTGTGTTATGCTATAAAGCCAGCGCGTTATTTGTGGTCATAAACGTATTCTAATACCTTAACTTGCACGTAAATGGGGAGATGTAAATATTCTCTCTTCGCTAGGTTTAGATTTCTCGATCGACATCTGAGCAGAAAAGTTATAAGCTTCAATGAGTTTCAACATTTTGAGATACAGCTAGGTAGCAAATCGACTTCTATTAAGTAGCGAATCGACCTTTTAGGTAATTAGCGAAAGTGCAAGGTGGCGAAAAGACCGGATACCATAGGAAATAAGTGGGTACAATTTTCCAACTTATCAACCTTTACATAACAAGCCAGTTGTAGCCTCACAGCCTGATAGCCTCACAGCCTCATTGACAACTATTAGAACAACTTAGGTGGCTTGTGATGGTTTGCATGTGCAGTTAATGTATGGAGTTACAAAATACTCTTTTGCTGTACCTCAAATCTGTAATAATAAAGACTTTTTTAACGTGGATAATTATGTTTTGGTGTCTTACCTGTGACTGAGTTTCAGCTGCACTAGAGCAGTTTTTACAAGATTACCTTACCACCATTTGCATTGCTACGCGGCCACCCTAGACAAAAATCATGACGTGCACTTTGCAATAGACTGCCATCAACCAAACATGTTGACATCATTTACACGCATGTGTGATTCAAAAGGCGAAAAAATTTGTCCATTGTTGACGAGTATATTATGAGCCACACTCACCGGGCCTATTCAGGCCAATCCAAACTCGTGTAAATGACGTCAACATGTTTGATTGACGGCAGTCTATTGCAAAGTGCACGTCACGATTTTTGTCTGGGGTGGCCGCGTAGCAATGCAAATGGCGGTAAAACAACAAACTGAACCTGAAACTCGATTACAGATAGGAGAACATTATAAAACAACCAACCATGACAATTAAAAAGCCTTTATATTGTAAATTTGAAGCACAGTGAAAGAATATTTTGTGACTCCATTCTTATAACTGTACATATGCAAACTATCACAAGTCACGAGCTTGGGCTTCCTGTTTATAAAGAAGTTATGGATGTTGAGATATCATTACTATTACCATTGAGTTAATCATAAGATAAAAGTGACAAATCTGTTATCATTTCAACATGCATTGTACAATTGTGCCTAGACTTATTAAAAAAGATTATAAGTTAAAGTATTGCCAAAGATTTTGTTTTCAAATTAATGATTTTGTTAAATTAAATATTTTTTCTTAGGCCCATTGATATATCTAAAAGTATCGATTGATAGATATTTTGACAAATTAATTATGAATCTTATCCATCCACGTCAGTTTAATATTCTTGACGACAACATAGTTAAAAATGGTTCCTACTATTGTCAGCACGCATACTTACTGCGCATCTACATCAAGGGATTCCTGTGGTTTTAAAAAGCAAAACACTCAAAGGTACAGAAAATGTCGGCTTGGGACAAATTTAAGGTGAAGAACAACAGCAATAACTATTTTCTTGTGTAGTCAAAGATGGATCAGAGTAATCTTCAAGAATTTAGGTGTTTTTGGCAAAAAAGTATGAGTTTTTACTTTTTAGAAAAAGCAGTTTCTATCGCCTTGGATCGGTGAATAATAAGAGAAGTTTTTCAATATTTCCATACAGATAAGCTTAGTTTGTTTTAAACTTAAATGAAAATTGAAAATAAATCACACATTACCCCAAATATCAACCGTTCATTTTAGGTTTTCCTGCGAGTATAATTACATAAAATGAACCGACTTTTGTCGTTGAAAGACCTCGCCTTATTATATAAGCTGTCTTTCACTCACTAAAAAATATATTCAAAAACATTCACGCAAAAGGCATACTGTCAAAGAAAATTATTATTTTGATTTATTAATTTTATAATCTCTTGCACTAGTGAAGTTAAACTGAATATAAGTTTTTATTTTACGAAAGTTTTTGCCTGGTTCTTGCTTTGCATGCACAACTGCCGTGAAACCTCATGAAAAGCAGTCCTTTTTCCGACTTCAAAAAATACTTTTACATACCATTTGCTTAAGGAAATCTTTTCTTCTACACAGGAAGTAATTATTTATTATTGTTCTTCCAATTGAATAAGTTTTCTGGTTCTTTGAAGGCTTGAAATATCGCTTTTTCTTCAGTTTTCCTCCTGCTTGTAAAACCACAAGAACAGAGCTGGTCACGCTGTTTCCTAACGCCGCGTCACACTTGTCATGCTTTTAGCACCCAATTTATCCTCAAAAAAATACTTTAAGGATGGTGGGTACCGTTCGCGACCCATTTTTATTTGAATGAAACTGTGTCAGTTATTTAGAGTACGCATCCAAGTGAGATAATTGTCATTAAAGACCCGATGACGTGAGCTCATTTTGAAGCACTTCAAAAAATCGCATATCCCTTGTGTTTGGCTTAAGTACATCGAAATTTTGCCTAAAATAATCTTAAACATAAATATTTTTCATATTAATAAAAAGATTTGAAGTTGCAAAGATGAAAGTACATTTTTTATCTGCTTTTGTGCAAAAGTAGGTAAAATTTCAATTTTGGACAAAAACACAAAATCAAAAAAGTAACCACCCAAAACTATTTTTATTTTTGAAATAGCACATTCAAAATTATCTTAAGTGTTTACAAAACATACCAAGCAAATAAAAAACTGGGGTCGCCATGCGTTTTTTGTAGTCATAATTTTTTGAATATCAGATTTCAAGCTTTTTTCAAGCGATGGTTACAAATTTCCTCCACCCCTCCCCTGAGAGACGTGGTTTAGCATTGCATTATGGGATGGTAAACATGGCGGACTACTACAAGAACTACTGGATCAAGAATACGGTCACTAAATGTGCTAGAGAATGCAATACGAAAACCTTGTAGGGATAACTGAGAATGGAATAAAGCCCCAAGAGTTTCATAGAAGAAACTAAGTGGTTTATAGTAGGTGAAATTTCAGTTTAAAACTCCGAATTCGCATTGAATGTAAAACAAACTACCAAGAGTCCAAACTTTTTTTCGTGGATCAATTCATGAAGTTTAAGTGCCTCTTTACATTCACTACACCCACTTTTTAACTGCTACATCAGGTAATCTAACTCAATAATTCGCTCTCCTTCAATAATATTTTGTGTTTGTTTTCAAGTTTTTCTCTCTTGATCTTTTTCGTCTAGTTTTTGTCGGTTCACCGGTACTCTATTTCYGACAAATCTACCATCTAGTCGTCGTTTTCTCCTTTTCACAACTTTGACTTTTATTTTTACAGTACTATTTAACTATCCCATATAGACACACACGAACAAAATTGCTATTTAAAAAAATGATGACAACAATGATCACGCCTTTATTTCGTTTTGTTGTTGTTGATATTTTTGAAAACATTGGAGTTCCTGTGGACTACATAATGTGCGCAGTTAAAGTGCGCGCTGACAACTGTACCCACCATCCTTAAAAAAACTTTGTAAAATGCGAGGGTACCCCCAGTTTTTTTTTCATCCAAAATATAAGAGATATATTCAGACAGCTTTTTACACTAGCATTTCTAAAATAAAAATGGTTTTGGATGCAAATGTAAGCAAAGATGTAGTATCCCTTCAGAACCATATTTACACTTTTGAGGGCAAAATTTGGTTTGAAAAATGGTTTCTTATATGATACAAAAAAGCTTTTATATTTGATATAAAGAACACAACTTCTTGTTTATTTGAAACAATTTCCAGATAAAATCCATCAAAACAACTTCGAAATATGATTTTTTTTTCCCAAAATCGTTCTAAATTGTGCAGAAGACTGTCGTTTTTTACCATGAACTTCACCATCAATTCGAAAACTATGGCCTCCAAATCGTTATGAAGGCTGTGAGGCTACAACTGGATTGTTATGTAAAGGTTGATAAGTTGGAAAATTGTATCCACTTATTTCCTATAATGGAGCAAATTTCCTACACAGAGTGAAATGCCAATGACCAGAGATCTACAAATTCCATTCTGAAGACGTATTCTGTGCTCCTCTATACGAAGGAACAGCCCCATTTTGTTTTCTAAGCTCAACGACATGGGTATCTCAGCAGAAAACTACGCTAAAACTATAATCCCTGATTACTAATTGAACATAAATCAAAACTAAGAACATAAAGAACGTGTATTTATCAAGAAAAAAATTGTTTGGAGTTAAACTTACTTGGCTTTTGTAGCTCTTTCTTTCATGACTTTTGCGAGGTCTTCGGGATCGTTTTCATTTTGGGTTGAAGTCCAAAGATCAACTCAAGATTTGGTCAAACATATACGGTAACACTGCCTTAAAACCAAATTAATTCATAATATATCGGTCACTCATGCATATAATTGGTAAAATTGATGATCAAGAAGCTTTTCATACCTTTTAAACGGAGATTTATGGAAGTAAATCAGAGAAAAACTGTTCCGCCTTTCTTTTTAACATCTGGACCTTCGAAGCAACGCGTTCAATGTGACGCTAAGTATGCTGGGATGGTAATGATACACAGGTATCCCAAAAATGCCAAGTCACTCCACAGGTAGCCCAAGCTAGGTTTCTGTGGTGTCATATTCAAATGAAAATGTTATAAGAATTTTTTTTTTTTTTGCGTTAAACTTGGTCAAATCCAAAATCTAATAAATATGACTCAAGATATACTACATTTCATATATCAGCTAATTGGTTTTTACTTTATTTCACATTTTGAAGATTTTATTGAGCTTTTTAAGTATCGCCATACATTTTCTAATTCAAATCGCAAATAGGCGGACGCAAACAATTTATTCGGGTTGGGTTGCTCCAAAGTATGTTGAGGACATGCTCACTGTAAAACAATTTGGTTGCTACCAAGGGCGTGGGGGGGGGGGGGACTCCCATATATGGACTATACAGGGATGATCCGCTGAACAGGGTATGGTTTTTCGAGCTTCTTGTCATAAACAGGGTATGCAATTTCACTCAGGTTCCAAGTTCTTCCTGAGTTTCCTATCATATTCAGGGCTTCTACTTTCGTATTGACCGAAACTGGTTATTATGGTCGTAAAAAACGATACGCGAGATGACATGAAATTGAAACAGGAACTCAGTGCAATAAATTATATCTTTTATCATAAACAGGGTCTACATATTTGAGTTTTTTGTCATAAACAGGGTACCCCTTAAGAGGAGCGTAGGAAACCACGACGCGTAGCGGAGTGGTTTCCAGCTTCTCGAGTGTTCTCCAAACATCCCAAGTGTTTTGATCAGAGTATCAAACACGGAAAACTGTTTTTGATTTGTTTTATAAAATAACAAACGCGCGAAAAGATCGAAAAAAAGCAAAGTCTAAGTAAATTCTCCCTACGTGCCGTCTTATTCAAACTGACCAATGAGCGCGCGCGATAGATTAAAAATGACGATAGCGTGTTTTGACACTCTCATCAAACATGGTTTTCGACCAATCATAGCGCGCGTAGTATCCCAATTATTTTATAAAGCCATATCGTGTTTTTGTTATCTAGTCCCAACTAAACAAAAGTCGACCAAGTTCATTGAATGTCGACCTACTTAAAAAAGACGACCAACTCAAAAAAAGTAGACCAAGTTGTAAAAAAGTTGGCCAAGCTAAAAAAAAAGTCGGCCAAGTTAAAAAAAAGTCAACCAAGTTGAAAAAAAAGTCGAGCACTGAAAAAAAAGTCGACCAAGTTGAAAAAAAAGTCGCCAACGTAAAAAAAGTCGCCCAGCTAAAGAAAAGTCGATGGCCCTAAATGGGCTCCGTAACTTATCATTCCAAAAACGATATTTCTTTCTTACTGCATTGATTACTTATTTCATATCGTTTTCATAATAGATTTTTTTTCCTTTATTTTCTAGCCATGGATGTAAAGCGCTTTAGAATATCTTAATAGGTTGAGCGCTATATAAATTGTATTATTTTATTATTATATTTTTTGTATCGTAACAAAATAGTCCGAAAATACGGCTCACAGCGAAATTTAGTCGAACCAATATTTTTCAATATCAAAAGGTAAGATTTCTTGCCATGTTTAAAGTGATTTACCAGCAGCTTTAGATAGAATCAGAAACTCAAAACAGGCACATAAACTATCTTTCCACCATCGACCATACTGAATTATTTTGTTTTTCCAAAATTAAGTACGAAGTACGCCAGGGGACGACTAAATCACAGATTAAACCCTTAAACAACCTCTCAGCTGATCATAGTCAGAACACACCTTACTCTTTTATAATATAAAATGTTTTAATCTTTTATAATTTAAAAAATTATTATTATTTAAAAAGTGTTTATTCCATAAATCTAATTTATAATAATTTTATTTTTCTTTTATATTGAGACAGTTCATTACTAAAACCTTTTGGGGAAGCACAACCTCTGGATCGCTTCTGGGCTGTTCAAACCCAGGGCACGTGTAACTCTACAGGGCACAGCCATCTCACAGATGAAATTCCAAACAAACTCTGGGCTGATCAAAGTCTGGGCAGGGCCCGCTCACGAAATTTAGATCTCAATTTAGCATTCAAATCTTTGACAGGAAGAGAAATTTTGAAAGCGGAGAAACGATCCGAGACCACAGAGTAGTAAATATGAAATGGGTGTTCTGCATCAGGATCATGCGGATTCATTGCTGATAGACCATAATCCTTTTCACACTGCTTTTGTTTCTTAATTATGACTATTGTTCCTGTATTATCTAAGGAATCAAAAATTTTAATATGAAAGAATTTTAAAAACTATTATGGTTTAGCATAAACCTACTAACATACTATTACGAATCCTGCAATCTGATTGGCTAACGTACTCACATCTATCCTGTGATAGATAGTGAGTAGCGAAAAACAAACAAGTGCATGGTCAAGTTTAGCTGGAATCTCTGCTTGTTTTCTAAAAATTCTTTATAAGATGGATCGTAGAAAAGACAAGGCTGTATCAAGGAAAGGAACTGAGGTTTTGGACAGTAAAGATAAATCAAAAACTGAAGAATTATGGCAATTTTATCACGAAAAAGCGGCCGTCAGATTTCATTGAAATTTTCATGTGCAAACTTACAACGGACAAACAACTGACTACTGAGATAACGATGGCATTTTAAAAGATATCCTCAAAGAACAGAAAAGATCCAAAGGACAACTTATTCACATGTATTCAAGAAGAATTTTAAACGGTAAGAACAGACGAAGCAATAGAAAAAGTGAAAGTTAACTGACACGGAATCTTAAGCAAATTGTAAACATGGTACGGCTTTGAATGATCTGACAACAAAATATTTGTAAATAAATCCGTTCAATTAATCACTCATTCAATTCGAAAAGTTTCAAAGAACAGCTAAAAAGGCGAAAAATCTTGAAAAGAGAGTTTTGACCGTAATAATAGAGAGAAAAAGCTACAGAAATAGAGGAAGTTTAAAGCTTGTACGTTAAGACTTCGAGTCGAGTTCGCAAAGATGAATGAAAACAGTGCTGCCGGTTGACCGTCGTTTTGTTCAGTAAAGTTTTCAGCGTAGTCATTCTTTGTTTTCAATACTATAATATTAGCTAGTTCTCGTTTTCTATGAGTCAAATAGAACTCATAGAAAACTCATAGAAAACTCGACCTCGTAGTCTAATTGTTAAATATAGTCGGGGGTAAAACGTGATCTCGCTTCAGGCTTATTAGATCTGGTTTTTCCACTCGGTCGCCTTCGGATCTTGTGTTTCGGATTCATAGGGGTTTTGAGATCATCTTCTATTTTAGATTGATAGAGGGTGACGTCATTTTTATATTCGTTTTGAGATCTCGGAGAGTATAAAGGGGTTGGTTTTCTTGGCTGTTTTTAGTTATCCGTCGTTATATGTGTCTGCTGATGGTACTACTCACTATCATACCTCTGATTTATTGCCCTTATACACAAAGAAATTGACGGACACTATTTACATCAAGATGTCAAGTACCATGGCTCGAAGTGCATTGTGCGTCGACAATGCGGTGGTTATGATTGTCACTGATGAGGTAGAGATGGTGGCACACGCTAAACTCCGAGAAGTACTAGAATTTTTGCACGTGGAACTATGCCGAAGAGAGATGATGAATATTTTCTGTATTTTCCAAAAAATTAAAAATATTCTAAAAATTAAACTTAATATAATTTCCAAGATATCCAATTAGATCCATATAGGTATTGCAAATATCAAAAGGAATATGGATTTTCAGGACTTTTGAAGTAGTTTCAATACGA